CATGGTATAGTTTTGGCATGGCAAGGCTGCAAGGCTGCCTGATGTCGCTACACAGGTTTCGTCCTTGCTTGAGCAGAAACCACTGCCGCAGCGACAGCGAAATCATTCTGCACATCAAGGCACCTGAACCGCATCGCGGTAGGTCCTCCTTGTGCATGGGCCTAGATGTCTTTACATGCTGACACTCAGGATGTCGAGCAGTATACCATGATGCCTGTACCGCATCACTACACTTATTGCGACGTATGCTTCAAGGCACAGGCTCCCGGGCCTCGGGATGAGTTGTTTTTGAGAAGACCGGGTCTGTCTAACACTCTTGCTGCATTTCCCATAAAGCTGCGATCATGCAGCGTGGGTCTTGAAACGGTGGGGTCTTCTCAAGGTTCAGGGTGTCATCTAACTAGTGATGTGATACACCGATGCAAGAAGATGAGTGGGCAGCGATTGGCACAGTGCAGCTACGAATAATGGCACCAAATAGTGGGAATGTAGGTAGTAATCTTCGTACTAGCACATGCAATGGCAAGGAACCCTTTGGCAAACAACGAACTTCTCCCTAAACCCTAAACCCCTATCCCCGCCTGCTCCTTCGGCTTGGGCCGAGGCCGTGAGGGTCGAGCCTCCTCTTGCGGCTGCGGATCTTCGCGAGGCCTCGCTGTCAACGAAACGGACAAACATCAAATGCAACAAATTAGAAACAGTGCGCACTCTACGGCTTAATGTTTAGTTTAGTGTGCATGGCCCCAGAAGCCTTGATCCAACCAAGCCCTACACCCCAAACCCTAAAGACCCACCCCAGATCTGCAAAGGCCACCTGCTGGCACTCATAGGGAGTCGCGATGCAAAATCCCGCAGCGGACGGCTTTCTCCTCGCCAGCTTTGCTTTGCTTCCGGCGGCTTTTAAGGACTCAGGGCCGCGCCTAAGGTGTGGAGGCTCGGACTTTCTGGGTTTCCTTTTAAGGGTTTAGGGTTCCTTTTAAGGGTTCCTTCTAGGGTTCCTTTTAAAGGGTCCCTTTCAGGGTTCCTTTTAGGGTTCCTTTTAGGGTTTTGCTTGCGTGTTTTGTGGTTCCGGGCCTGTGCGAATCCCCATTCAAGTCCGGCTGTCGCAAGGCCAATCAACCTGAAGCATGCGACATGCAAAACCAACACAAAGTTACGCTGGGCGATTCTTCGTTTGGGAGCGATGCAGACATGTCTTGTATGTCTTGCGGCTCAAAACCCTAAACCCAAAACCTTAAACCGATGCACATGTCAAGGCTCAGCAAATCCACGACCCGGCGCGCCCAAACCCAAACCCGACATCGTGGAAGGCGAAAGTGCGCAGGGACGGTGCGTACTTGTAGGATTCAAGTTAGCTAAACCTTAGAAGGGACCCCCACCCTGTAATAGTGGTACAATAGGAATATAATAGGGCCCTAATATACTCCTTATAGTCACTATTACAGGGTGGGGGCCCCTTCTAAGCTAAAGCCAAGAGTAACGCTTTTTGCTTCTAAGGGGCTTATAAGGGAACCTGAACCCTAAAAAAGGCTACTCTGGGTCCTAGGTAGGGGTTTAGACTGTCCGTCTGCGCCCTCGTGGTAGGCGGGAAAGGTGTCGATCAGCTCTTTGTAGCTCCACCTCTGTGTCGCGGCGATCAACATGATTGGAGCACCAAAGCTTTTACTCTCGTAACAGTAACATGCCAGAAGCGGAATTTTGGTGAGAATAGACAAGAACTGTTAAACCTGAAGACGAAAGCCCGCGACGGAGATCGAAGGCACTCTCGACCTAGGACCCTTAACCAGTATCGGGGCCTTCATAATTAGAATGGGGTTTTGGGCCCATTATACTGTGATTATAGTAAGGAGCCCCCAACACGGTAATGGTAACTATTGAGGCGCCCTATATTATGCATGCCTTTTCTTGCGAATCGGATGGGGAAACGTCAATCGGTGCAGCGCAGGGTTTGGGGGAGCTTGGTATCTGGGTAATCTGGGGCCTTCATACTTAGAATAGGGTTTTGGGGTATATTGGACTATCAGTGTAAAAAGGAACCCACAGAATAGTTTAGGCAATTGAGTCCAAGTCGAGTCAACCGTGACAGCCAAGTTCGACAACCAGATTATCTGGAAGCTCCACGTATCCGTGCGCCCTGAACAAACCCAAACCAAAACCCTAAACCCTCAACCTTCTAAACCCTAAACCCTAAACCCCAAACCAAAACCTTAAACCCTCAACCTTCCCTTCTCCAGAAGCCGTAATCCTAATTCGAAGACCCGAACACGAAACCAAAATCCCAAAACCCCTAAATGCCAAAACCCCAAAGGCCCTAAACCCCGAAACCCCAAACCCTTCTAAACCCTAAACCTTAAGCCCTAAAATCAAAACCCTAAACCCTAAACCTTAAACCCAAAACCCAAAGCCCCTAAACCCTAAACCCTTCTAAACCCTTCTGGACCCTGTTAAAACCCCGAAGGCTCACAGCCAGAGCGGAGCACTCCACCCTGAACCCTAAACCTTGGGTACTGCCCCGCCCTGTAACAGTCTATAATAGGGGCCATGCTATGTATAAGTAGTTAGACAAACTATAAAACTGTTACATAACTGTTACCCGAGTTCATAAATCCGGCAATACCTGGACCCTGAAGAGCCTATTTTTTCAGGATTCATCTAAGGAAATCATGATAAGGAACGCTAGAGAGGCAGGTCAGCTAAATCCGAGCCCCACAGTACGAACTGAGCACTACGCCGCAGAGGGTCGACGGTATCACCCATTGCTTCAGCAGCGGAAGCGGATACCGGGTACGTGATGGAACAAGGACTGGCTTGTTAAAGATCCTACTAACTAACATGTGTATTTGGAGCAATTTAATACACTTGCATATGTATACATATATATATATATAGACACACATACTTCTGATGATGACTTCGGGTCAGTACACGAAGCAGCGACAACCTGCGGATTTTGTGGCAGTGCAGCTTGCGTATGTTTGGCGAAACTTCGGCGGGGATGACATGCATGGTGGCTTTGTGCAGACTTCCGCCCTGCAGCTCCTCGACATGAGTCACTAGGGCCAAGGGAAGGTGGCGTACGTCTGTTGCATGTCACCCCATCACCCTGAGACTAGAATCCAAGGCACAGCAGGCCCCCTGTGGCCCCAATAAACCTGCAGTGATGTTGCGGGGGCCCGAAATGGCCTAAGATTCCATAAACTGCGCCTTGAAAGTCTGCCATCATTGCCATTGCTGTTGAATTCCTGGTACAAGCTGGCCACTGGGGAACAGCGAACACAGCTTCAGAACCACGAAGTTTTCCGGATGGGGGCCTGCAACGTAAAACCTTAAACTCCGCTTAAGCCTCCGGTTTAGGGTTTCCGGGCTGGGATCCCTAAACTTAACCTACCAAAACCTACTTTTTTGCAGGGCCCCCTAATAATAAGAGCCTACAAAGAAGTAGGGTTTGGTAGGTTAAGGTAAACTGTTCAGGGTCCCGCAAGCCTTACAAATCAGCCTTGCCCCCCCAACCACAGGAGCCTAGGATGTCTACGGGGATTCTAGCTGATTGGGGCTTGGGATTCTCAACTAAGCTCCTGGTTGCGCGGGCACCGCAATCCACACAAAAACCCAAGTTGCCAAAACCCTGCCGGCGTCCTTCGAAACGAAACCCCCCAAAATTCGAGCCCTGCAAGCTGAAGCCCTCTGGAAATCTCTGCCCCAAACCCTACAATCTATGCCGTAGACGCCGTAGACCCTAAACCCCAGCTCCTCAATCCGAAAGCAAAGAAGAAGCCCATAGCCGAACTACTTACCTATACTACTGTTGATGACATAAATCTTGCATTACCCACAATAAGGAATACCATAATTCCCATAGTTTAGGGTCCTTAAGGTAATGCAGGATTTATATCATCAACCGTATTTTGGGTGCTCCTTGTTATAAATATGGTATACTATACCCCCAAACCCTATTGTAATCATCAAGGCCCCGAATCAAAAAAACACACCCAAAGCCTCCGGTGCTTTTTCCTAAGCAAAGGAAGAGCCTCCGGCGCGCTTACTACCAAAGCCGAAGGCTGCTCTGATCCTGCTTTAAAGGGCTTAGGGTTTGGAGTTCAGGGTTTAGGGTTAGGATGAGGGAATAAGGGTTAGAGTTTAGGGTTTAGGATTTAGGGTAAAGGGTTTAGGGTTTAGGGTTTAGCGTTTAGGCTCTAGGGTTTAGGGGTTCAGGGTTTAAGGTTTAGGGTATAGGGTTTAGGGTCTGGGGTTTAGGGCTGAGGGGATGAGGGCTTTTGGGGGCTCGGGGCTTAGATTTCGATTTGGAGTGGTTGGGAGTTTCGAGCTGAAGCATTACGATGGGCAGATTAATGTAGGAACCTGATCAAGAAACCCTGGGCCTGTAACACCAAAATAGTAGGATTCAAAAAAGGAACCCTAATAAAGGCCCAAGATTTCTTAATCAGGTTCCTACATTAAGGGTTTGGGTTTGGGGTCCAAAGCTTCGGATGGAGTGTTTGGAGTGCAGGCTTCGCAGTGGAGAGTTGAGGTTTCGAGAAGTAGGGACCGATGTCACGAGGTGTGCCTCAAGGCTTCCCTCACACAACGGCAAGCTTACGGTCCTCAATCCTGCGCACTAGGTCCTAAAGCTTCAGCTCTAAGACCCCCAAAACAGGTCCCAGGCTCTTTTAAAAAAAAAGCTCCATCCTGAACCCCAAGCCCTAAAACCCTCGGAGCCAAAAACCCCAGCCCCCGCTGCCCTCAGTAAGCGCTTCAGCACTGAGAAGGGTTTCGGGTGTAGGGAGTTTAGAGTTGAGGATTGCTGGGTTCAGGATTGCGCTTGCGGCTTATGGTCTAGTGTTTAAGATGTGAGGTCTTAAGATGTAGAGATTACGTGCTGAGGGTATCGCTTAGGATTTCGGTTTTTGGGATGTAAGATTCAAGGCCTCGTTTAAGGCTTCGGCTTGATATGCCAGGCCTGAACCTGCAGAAGAGCTCGCCGCCCAAATCTTGCGAGGTGTTCAGACCATAACATTCCTCGCTTTGGGGTTTTAGGGTTTAGGGCTGGGGCTTAGGGTTTACGAGGGAGCGGTTTAGGGGCAGGGTTTATGGCTTGGGGTTTAGGGTCCCGCGGTGCAAGAAGAAGGACACCAAAAGCCGATACACATGCTGCAAATGCACGAGACTGCCGGTGATTCGAAGGACGACTGCAGCTGCATTGCGGTCCCAGAGCAATACTAAAAGTTAGAGGTCAGGATTTCCAGGAGGCGAAAAGTCGTCTGCAGGGTCTATAGGGCTCTACAAGGGTCTAGGCGGGGTTTGGAAAATCTACATCGGGGTTATGGTTCTCTTGAACGTTTGTAAAGCTGTACAGGTAGAAGGGTTAAATGAAAGGCATGAACAGGGTCTGAACTATAATCGCAGTACGGACGGAAAGCCAGAAAAAGACCTTTACTAGTTCGCAAGGCGCCTCTCTGTTCGACAGTTTGTTGGCACGCTTGGCGCATGTCTGACTCTCAGGTTGTTGCACGTGTTGCAGACAAAACCCACATCTCACGCCCCAAAACTATATGCTGATGGACACGAGGAAAAAAGCCCACAAATTCTTGACAACCTAAGACACTAGGCTGCAGCCCATAAGTTCTCGACAATCTAAGGACCCCACCAAGCTCAACAGCCTCAAGCCAGAGCCACCTCTTGAAACCTGCAAAGAAAACCTACAAAAGAACCGTGAATTCACAACGAAACCCAAAAGAAGCTCTTCCAGTAAACCTCCAAGAACCTAAATCCAAAACCAGGACAAACACTGAAGCATGCTGCTCTTTACATCCCGCCGGGGAGCTCCGTATCCTTCCAGGCCTGGTTGTCAATACCTGGAAAACGATGAGGTTACTAAGTCTGTGTAGTTTTGAAGGGATAGTCTGGTCCTTTTCTGGGTGATTTTGCAAGGTTCTCAAAAGTTTGCTGTATGGCTGCATGGTTTTATAGCGCTCTTAAGAGTAAGAGGTCGTTGCTATTGGGTTTTATAGGTTTTGTAGGGAACTTATGAAGTTTGGTCTTTGCCACGGTTTTGGTCACTTAGTCTGCATCTAGGGCTTTGCTATGGGGGGCTATTACCAAAACCCTACCCCGCAGCAGGCACTCACTAGCAATGGGGCATGACCGGCAGTTTTGCAGGATTTCTGGCTTATCATTTTGGGGGTTTGAGGGTGTCAGGGACTGTGGATTTACGATCCTGGATTTAGGGGTTGTGGCCATCCGTGCACAGCGTTTTCGACAGATCCAGCCCAAGTGTGCTTGCTTTTCAGAGACGTAGGGTTGTGCTGCCAGTCTTGCCGATGCAGGCTGCCAAGTTGTAAGAGTCTGAGTGACGAACACTAGCTTGCGGATGTTGCAGGGATCTGCTCTCCTAAGCTTAACCCCCCACTTTTCAACAACGAAAGCAAGCCCAGGTCTCATACAGCTTCGGAGTAGAGTTTAGGGTATAGGGTTAAACTTGCTTGGAAACTTTCCAACTGACTCAGGAGGTTGGTTGGGTCTTTCCAGAAAGTTGAAAAGCCTTCCCCTCCGAGAACGTCGTGTATGCGATCAGCTTCTTGAAGAGAAGCCTTTTGTTTGAGGCAGTGCTTGCGCCTGCGGTTGGATTCCGCATATCAGGTTTTTTGGCGGCTTGAAAAACTCTAGCTCGGAGAAAATCTCACCAAAAGCATGCATACTGCAAAAGCCCCAATTGCCTGAAACTCCTGAACCTTATACACCATGCTCCCCAGCCAAGGATTCAGACCGCAAGAAGCCCTGCCCACCTGTTGCATTCATTACATCCTGCATCCCAAAGCCCGGAAGCCCAAATTGACAAGTAAAACAACCTAAAAACCATAAAGTAAAAGCCAGAAAGTTGGAATATGACTATCCTAAACCCTTTATGATAAATTATAGCGTATCCTACCCTGAAACCATATTCCAAACTTTCTGGAGTTCCCCTTAAATCCTGAACCTCAAACCAGAAAGCCTGGACCTTTGAAGAGCGAGCCAGATCAAAATTAAGCGAGCTGCGCTTCATCATGGACTTGAGCTGCTTATTGGGGCCCAGCTCATAGAACCTCACTGTTGAGGTGGCTTGAGAATTTCTGTTTCCGGTTCAAGGTTTAGGGTTTAGAGGTTTAGGGGTTTAGGGTTTAGGGTTTAAGGGATTTTAGGGTTTAGGGTTTGGGGTTTTGGGCTGGGCTTAGGGTTTTACCCCCGAAGCTCTTAAGAGGCTTCGGGTCTAGATATACATGGGACAGCCCTTAACTGAAGGATCGCTTAGTAAAGAGGCTGTAAATAGAGTTAGAGGTATGTTTACTTATATCCCTACACGTAAGGTACTTACTCAATCCCATGATCCTCAAGTAGACCCTAAACCCCGTGAAGGCACTATAAAACCCCCTACCCTTGTAGGACCCTTCTTATAGCCCGATCCCGCAAGCAACGGAGCTCTTGAGGACGATGCTGGGACTGAATCAAAAACGAAACCTGAACCGTAAACTTTTAACCCTAAACCCCTAAACCTAAACCCCTAAACCCCTAAACCTACACTTTACACCGCAAACCTGAACCCTAAACCCTAAAACCCATAAACTTTAAACCCTGAACCTGAACCCTAAACCCTAAACCTAAACTTCAAACCCTAAACCTGAACTCTAAACCCTAAAATCTATAAACATTAGACCCAAAACCTGAACCCTAAACCCTAAACCTAAACTTTACACCCTAAACCTGAACTCTAAACCCTAAAATCCTAAAACCCAGAAACATTAAACCCTAAACCTGAACCCTAAACCCTAAATTACGACACTTCGGCGCAGGGGCTGGGAGAGGCCGTCCTTCAATGCGGCGCGAATGCAAGACTCCCAGAGGACACCTCCGTTGGGATTTTTGAAGCTTAGGGGTTTTTCTAAAGGCTTTAAGGGTTTAGGGTTTAGGGTTTACGGTTTAGGGTTTAGGGAATTTTAGGGTTTAGTGTATGGTCTTTGTAGGGTTTAAGGGTTTAGGGCGCAAGGAAAGAGGCGCGAGAATGGGAGGAAGGCAGGTTCGCTTTAGGAGTTGGGGTATAGGGGCTAGGCTTTGCTGGTTTGCTGCCGCAAACCTTGAACCCTAGTTCATGTAATATATGATTGCTCTCGGGACTTTGAGTTCAGGGCTGTAGGCTTGAGGATCATTGGCCCTAGGGCGGCTTGGGTAATCTAGAAAATCGGGGACCCTAAGATAGAGATATGTGCATAGATATAGATATAAATATAGATATAAGGATATAGCTATTTGTATAGATATTGATACAGATGTAGACATGTATATATAAAAATAAAGATATAAAGATATATAGATACACATATATAGATATAGATAGATGTAGATATACAGACATTCGGATTCATAGTTATGTAGATATATAGACATATAGATAAACAGATATATAGATACATAGATGTATAGATATGGTGGTATATGGATATATAGATATATACGGATATATAGACATATAGGTATGTAAAAAACCTAGGTTTGTAGATATGTAGGTATGTAGATATGTAGATACATAGCTATGTAGATATAATGATATGTAGCTATATAGATAGATATATAGATAGACAGACATATAGATATGTAGATATATAGACATGTAGGTATAGCTTTAGATATGCATATAGGTATACATATAGATAGAGATACAGATTTAAAAACAAATGTGGATACTGATACAGATAGAGATGATATAGATGGATGTGGGAAAAGATGCCCTCTACCCAAAGAGTGCAAGCAAAGCGGCAGTTGGTGAGCTGGTCCGCCAAGGTGGTGATGATCTCCTCGACCGGCGTGCCGGCAGGGAGCCTGCAGCCGAGGATCCACGAGGTCGCAACTGCAACACGGGTTCTCTTAAGGGCTTTGGGGTTAAGGGCCTTTGAGGGTTTAGGGGCCTGTAAGGGCTTAAGGGTTTGGGGGTTTAGGGCCTGTGAGGGCTTTTACAAGGGGTTTACCGGGGTGGTTTCTACAAGGGTTTCTTCAAGGGTCCTATCTGATTCCTTCAAGGGCTTCTACAAAGAGTACTGCAGCGATGCGATTTTGGGGTTCGTTATCATCGTCATAGGATCATATACCCCATTGCCCTACTCTAACTATTAAGGCCCGTATATTAACAGAAGGGACTGTCTTGGGGCCTGGGCTTTTGCACACCCAGTGTTTTGCACTTTTTGCACTATATGAACGCTCCCCACTTGCCTTGCACCAGTGAGGTTGGCATACAGGTCGCACTTTGGCGGCTTCCTGAGCTTAGGGTTTACAGGGTTTGGGGCTTTTTGGGGTTTAAGGTTTGGGGTTTATGGGTTTAGGGTTTAGGGCTTAGGCTTTGTGTTGTTTTTGAGGACCGTTTTCCAGCTGCAGTACAGTTGGAGAGCTCCAACGGAGCAGGCAACTATCCCTTCCCTTCATTCAGACGTCACCCTTGAACATCCCTGTGCTTGTCTCGACCCTTTCCCTGACCCTCCGGACTTTCCGATGCTTAGGATTTAAGGTCTAACGCAAGGATCTTAGTGATTCAACTGAGGTTCTTGAGTCTGTTTTTGTATGTTGATATGGGGGCTAGAAGCGGACACTATACATAAATATTCAGACCTCTGAGGCTATACTTCAGGCTCCAGGTTCGAGCTCATAGATGAGAAGTCTGAGAACCAGGCGACACAGCTCCCGAAACCCAAACAAACTCTGAGCTGGCACGCCTCAACCCTACAGCCCTAGACCCTCAACCCGAAACCCTCAGCCGCGAAACGCGTAAACCTCAAACCTCGAAATTGAAGCCGTGCTCACTTCTAAAATCCCAAAATCCCAGAAGTTCAACACCTACAACCTTGAAACCACAAAACACCTAAAATTTCAACCCTAAACCCATACACCCTTGATATCCCCCCCAATGTTGCTGCCACCTGCTTCGGGCTTCCAAAGGGTCCGAATTAAGGATTCCAGAAAGCTTCCAGGCTTTCGGGTTTGGAGGGCCATAAGATTATGCAGCTGAAATCTGAGTACCTAGACAAACGCCCAGGACCAACATCCCGCAGCCTTGACCACAGAACCGGACGAAACAAAAAACACTAATCTCAATAGAAGCCCTCAAAAAAATCAAATCCTAACCCCGAAACCCCCACCGTAACTCCATCCCCAAATCCCTATAGATCCCTTCTAGTACCCTTATGGATCCCTTTGAAGGAACCTTTATAAACCCTGAACCCTATAAAGCCTCAAAAGAGACCCCTCATAGATCCCTTTAAAGGAACCCTTTATACAACCCTAGGAAACCTTAAAAGGACCCAAAAAAACACAAAACGCCCCTCCAAAATCCCAAAACCCAGCTTAAACCCTTCCAAACCCCAAAACCCACCTTAAACCCACCCCCCTAAACCCCATAGATCCCTTGTAGCACCCTTCTGGATCAAAGGAACCCTTGTAGACCCTAACAACCCCCTCCTATACCCCCCCTAGAACCCTAATAAGAATTCATGTTCTTAATATTCTCTTGGGTCTTATTCTCAACAAAATATGGAAAAAAAACAATTCCCAAGGAGACCCTCGACCCTAAACCCTATAGCATCCCCACCCTAAACCCCCCAAGAGAGCCCAATACCCCGTATACCTTGAATCATAACATGAAGCCCCTTATGATTCAAGGCATATTGCTTAATTAAGGGGTATTGGGCTCTCTGGGCCTATAGCATCCCCAAAAAGGAAAAAATCCTAAGGAGACCCTAAACCCTATAGCCTAAACCCTAAACCCTGAACCCTGAACCCTAAACCCTGAACCCTAAACCCCATAGCAATCCCCCAAAAGGAGAAAAAAAAGAGAGCCTAAAACCCCTCTTATAATAGAACCCCTATAGATCCCCTTTCAAGGAGCCCTTTATGGAACCCTAGTTACTAGGATAAAGGCCTCTCTTTTTGGTATTGGGTAACTTTATAAGGAACCTAGGACTACAAAAAGGGAATAAGGGTACTACTGGGCATCCTAGGTTACCTTCTCAAACCCCAAAGCATCCCCCAAAAGGAGAAAAAAAGAGAGAGCCGGGCCCCCAGGCATCTTCGGCTCGGCGGCCCGGAGGGCCTCCAGGAGCTTGGCGCGCGCCGGCGCCATGAGCCCCCTGGGTTAGGGGCTTAGGGCTTTAAGTGTGTGTGTGTGTGTGTTAAGGGCTTGAAGGGTTTTTTAAGGGTTTTTTGGGGGCTGTAAGGGCTTTTAAGGGCGTTTCAAGGGCTGTAAGGGCTTTAAAGTTGTTTAAGGGTTTTAAGGTTTGTTAAGGGTCTTAAGGGTTTTAAAGGTTCAGGAGCTTTAAGTAGAGTTTAAGGGTTTAGGGTTTACCCCTGCCATCGCTTTTTAGGGGTTTCAGGAGGCCTTCAGAGCAAGGATTTAAGAGGCCCCTGCCGTCGTTTTTAAGACTTACCCTTTAGGGTTTGGGGGTCAGAGTTTGGGGTTTAGGGTTATGAGCCTCCTGGGAGCTTTCGAGATTTCAGGGGGCTTTGGGTGTTTAGGGGCTGAAGGGTTTAAGGGTTTAGGCGTTTAAGAGCTTGAGGGTTATCGGGTTGAGGCTTTAGGGATGTTGAGGGTTGAAGGCTGGGAGGTCCCTTGAAGGGTTCCTTTAAGGGAGCTCTAAGGGTTTAGAGTTTCCGACAATTAGGGGCTTTAGGGGCTTCAGGACCTCAGGCGCTTCTTTTCGGGGGGCTCACGGCTTCGAGTTTAGGCTTCAGGGTTTAGGATTTAGGGTTTCTGGTCTGCGCTGCAATCTTTGGGCCCTTGGGATTTTCGGGCCATTTGTTGTTTCGGCGTTCTCCGGGCCGCCTCTTCAGGTGGCTTGAGCGCGCCAAGGCTACTTGATGACGCCGTTGCCGGCCGCTGGTCGCTGTTGAGCTTAGCCTCTGCCTTGGTCACGTTCCGGCTTGTCTGCAAGGCTGTTCTGCAGAGGGGCGCTCTTTGGATGCATGGCCGCCCCAGCACTGCCGGCCTTTTCCTTGCTGCGCAAGTTGCTTCCTGCGGCCACCTTCTTGGACTTTCCTTTCCGTGGCGGCCGTGTCTTTCTTGCCGCCTGCTCCGGCCCTTTTGCCTCCGTGGTGCGTTCTGCTTTGGTCGACGCCCCCCGGCGTGCCGCTGTCCCTGCCCCGTCCGTGCTCCCCTTGAGGGCCTTTTGGGCATACCCGGCTTTCGGGTGAGCGGCTCGCCCCTTCTGCGTTTGTACAGCCGTTGTTTGTTAGTCTTTGGCTGCAGGCTTACAGCAAGCCTGCTTTTCAGCCTCCTGCACGTGTGAGCACAGGAACCTTCCTCTGGCGCGAGTGAGTGAGTGAGTTTAGGGTGTAGGGTTTAGTGGATTTAGGGTTTAGGGTTTAGGGCTGGGGCAGAGAGTTTAGTTTAGGCTTCAGGATTTGCTTACATTTTGTTAGTAGGGAATGGAGGAATGGGGTACAATTATAACTACTATTACTACCATTCTTCCATTCCCCACTAACCAAAGGTAAGTTTTGGGGGGCTGGGGCAGAGAGTTTAGGGTGTAGGCTATGTATGGATGTATGTCCCGAAGCAAAACCCATCGATCTATCTATCCAACTTTCTATCTGTCTGCACCCTATGTATATGTGCATTATAGCTGAATGGAACCTGCTTCGAAGCCCGAGGCAAGGAAAAGCTGACAGATGATGATGACCAAGGGAACAACAGTAAAAGGAGTGATGAGAGACATGCTACTTACGAAGAGTAACTGTGAAAGAGATAGAAATAGATAAGATAGAAATAGTACGTAGCAATACTAGCAGCATATTCAATAACCATATGGCAATATAGCAATAAACTGTGAAACGTAGTGCAAACAGAAACAGACACAACAATGGCAACAGAATAACAGCAAAAACAGTGGCCCTGGACATAGTCATGGTAGTAGTACTGGTACAGATACGAATGCTTGTACTAGCACTAGCAAAAGCAATAGTAACAGTAATAGTAACATCAATAGAAATGGTAATGGTCATGGCCTCATAGTGATAGCCAAAGCAATAGCAACAGCATCAATGGCAGAAGCGAAAACAAACATAATAGTACAAAGAAGAGTACATTTGCAAGTAAGAACGAGAGTCAGAGTCAGAGAGAGATTAAGAGTAAAAGTAAGGGCACGTGTAAGGGTAAGGACAACAGGAAGCGCAAGACAAAATTCAATAATACTGAATAACAACAACGGTCATAACGACAGCAATGTTGATTGTCAGAAGAATGTATTTTGTCAGCCTATTGACAGCCTGCACTTTCACGGGCAAGTAGCCCCTATTCACAGCAAGAATGGCAGGACGATCTTATTGTATGACAACCAAAGGCACTTTCCACCTCAAATAATCGGAGCCAGTAGAGAACACAGCACCGGGATCGAATGACCCAACCATGTGGTAGTGGTAAGTGGTATGCTATGCTAAAGTTCTCATAAGGAACCACAAGGAATGATAATCAGGCTCCTACATTACAGGGATTCAACAGGCTGCACACATCTCGAAACTATGCCCGACCGCTAGCACGAGCCCAGGTCCAACAGTGCACAGCCCGAAGCTCGATACCGCGCACCCCGCACCCAAGATCCCATCCAGAAAAAGGATTTGGGGCTCAGGGTTTAGGGTGTAGGGCTTGGGGCAATTGAAAGAAGCCGAGCTGCGTGTGGAAAGCACCCGAGGTCTTCAGCAGCTTCGCTTGGAGGCATCCCGAAGTTCCCATGGCCTCGCAGCTCCGGAAGTGGGCAGACTAATATGAGAGACGTACGTGATAATTGTTATAAAAAGGAACCCCCAAAATAGTATAGGTAATTATCTAGGCCCCTATAGTAATAGTAAGCTGTTTGTAGTAGTAGTAGTAGCAGCAGCAGCAGGAGTAGTAGTAGTAGTAGTAGTAGTAGTAGTAGTAGTAGTAGTAGTAGTAGTAGTAGTACTAATAGTAGCAGCAGCAGCAGGAGTAGTAGTAGTAGTAGTAGTAGTAGTAGTAGTAGTAGTAGTAGTAGTACTAATAGTAGTAGTAGTAGTGGTAGAAGTAGTAGTAGTAGTAGTAGTAGTAGTAGTAGTAGTAGTAGTAGTAGTAGTAGTAGTAGTATGGTAGTAGTAGTAGTAGTAGTAGCAGCAGCAGCAGCAGGAGTAGTAGTAGTAGTAGTACTAGTACTAGTACTAGTACTAGTACTAGTACTAGTACTAGTACTAGTAGTAGTAGTAGTAGTAGTAGTAGTAGTAGTAGTAGTAGTAGTACGAAGACGACAACGACGAAGCATAGCTGCCGCAGTTTCATAGTTTACTCCTCCTCCTGCCTGCTACTACGACAACTACAACTGCAACTACAACTGAAACTACAAATTCAACTACAACGACAAGAACAACAATCTTTAGTGCTACAACTACCACCACCACCACCACCACCACCACCACCACCACCATCACGACGACGACGACTACTACTACTACTACCACCACCACCACTACTACTACTACCACTACCACTACCACTACCACTACCACTACCACTACCACTACCACTACCACTACCACTACCACTTGTTAACTTTCTTGTTGGCCGGTGTTAGGGTTGCCAGAAGTGTTCTGGCCCTTTTGTTTATGAGGAAAACACCAGAAGTGTTCGGGATCCGTGCTTTTTTCCGCTGATGGAGGAAAAACGACATCTGTGTCTAAATTTCGAGTGCACAAATTTCGAGGCCTGGACGTCAAGCAACAATGAGTACTCTCACAATGAAACCATTTCGAAGTCTGCCTAGAAAAGTATATGAAAGAACACAGAGTGACCTCACATGCCAAGGACGATAAAAAGAAACGTGACAGGGGATCGTCGATTGTAACGAAATCGGTTTAAGCTTCAATAATTTCAATATGATTTCAATATATTTCGACGCTGTATAGGCAATCCAACAAACATTGAAGCCAACGAAAATATCCGGCAACAAGGAATTGCTTTCATGTAAACACGTGTAAAGTATCAGGAATCAGGATCACAAGATGCGACGCTGATGCAATCGCTCGACTCGCTCCACTGACTCCACTGCAGCATTTCTCTCGACCAGCTGCGCAAATGCCCCGTGGCCAGGGTCCCCCGGCGACGTCATTGCGTCGGCTTGTCCCAGATCGAACCATTTCGAGGAAGGTGGATTTAAGCACATGCCAGAAAGCCATCAAATGATCATCATACATGATTTCTGAGGCCGCCAACAGGACAACCGGGCCGGGTCCAGGCTTGAAGCAACACATGCCATCCCCACAGCACGATACTTGCTGTACAGCCTTGCAGGGCCCTAAAACCCACTCATCAGACCCCATGCCTGGTGGCCCCGTGGCTATGCCATACAATGACCCTGACTCTTTTCAACTGGACATGGCTCACCGCCCTCCTGCACAGGTTCGATTGCCCCTCAAATGAATGAACTGCGAGGAGGCCGTCAGCCCAAGACAGCGATACAGAAAGCACGAGATCACGAAGTGCAAACGTACTATCAATGAAACTTGGAGTTCGATATGCGGGGCCACCGCACGTAAACGAGCTGCAGTAGCAATGACACTTTAACCTTGAATCAGGCAGGTACGACAGCAATACGTACATGAATTGAGTAAACCTAACAATACTGGCGAAATACAGGGTCCAAACTCTGAAACTGCATCTTGGAGTATGAACCTGAGTCACCTGAATCACATGTACAAACACTGACAAACATGGTGGCCGTTGTTGATACTGCTACTCTGAACTACCGCTGAACTTGGTTCAAGGAATCTGGAGTCTGTAGCAGGGTATCACTATGCGACTGTCTTGGGAAATCAAGCCAACTTAACCAAAGTTAAAGTCGCCAGCCATGAGTCAAGGAGCCCGTGGGCCTTGATTGTGCCGTGGGTCCGCAGTGGCACGATTGTATGCGAGAAATAGTCACTAGTACAGGGGAGGCCCTTCGAGGCTTCCTACGATTCTGTAGGAAAAAAGAGCTCCTGCAAGTGGAGCTTCCCAGCGCAAAAACAGCCCACGTACAGCAAGCAATCGAAACAGTTGAAGCTACAAGCTGAGATTAACATCTACCAGTAGATGCCGCAAAATCCTCGCATCAGCGTGCCAGCATTTAGCTGCAGCAAACT